CACACACACACACACACACACACACACACACACTGGGTGGTGCCAAAAAAAATGTATACATTTTAAGAAAGGAAAACTTAAAAATTTAATGCTCAATATAAACTGATAACAAGATTAACACCATCTTTTACGTGAACAGCATACTACACATTGCTACCATAATTCAGTTCAACTTTGAAAAAGCAATACATAGATAACATCTCTTAAAATGCATATACATCTTGGGGGGCATCCCAGTATTTATGAGGAACAATGTTATGTGTGTGTATGCATTCAAATTTATTAGCTTCCACACGAGTGAGATCATGTAGTGTTTTTCTTGCCTGATTTATTTTACTTCACATAATGACCTCTAGTTCCACCTGTGTTTCTACAAATAACAGGACTCCTTTTTAAAGGCTAAATGGTATTCCATTGTGTATAAGCACCACATTTTCTTTATGCACTCATTTGCTGATGGATTCTTAGGGTGGATCCACATCTTGGCTATTGTGAGTAATGCTGTAGTCAACATGGGGATGGAGGTGTTTCTCTGATGTTCTGGTTCTGGTTTCATTTCCTTTGAATAAATTCCCAGTAATAGGAATGCTGGATCATGTGGTAGTTGTTTCTACTTGTTTGAGGAATTTCCATTCTGTTTTCCATGGTTGCTGAGCTAACTTACATTCCTACTGACAGTGTGCAAAGGTTTTGTGGGCCATTATGTCTTTTGAGAAATGTCTATTCAGGTCCTTTGACCATTTCTTAATTGGGTTATTTGCATTTCTGCTATGAGTTGTTGGTGTTCCATGTATATTTTGAATATTCACCACTCATTGCACTGTATGGTTTGCAAATATTCTCTCCCATCTGTGGGTTGTCTCTTCACTCTTGATTATTTCCTTTGTTGTGCAGAAGTTTTTTTTTTTAGCGTGATACCGTCCAGTTTATTTTTGTTTTTGTTGCTTGTGGTTTTGGGGTCAAGTCACTGCCCACGCCAAGTCATGGAGATTTTTCCGTATGTTTCTACTAGCTTTACAGTTTCAGGGCTTATGTTTAAGCCTTAATCCATATCAAGTTGATTTGTGTGTGTAGGCTGCTCTCTCCTTGGTGGCTTCCTTTCTTGGCTCCTTAGGACTCACCCTGCTAGTCCTGGTTCCTCTCCTTCATGGATCCTCCGCTCTGCCCTCTTCGTGTGGATCCTTGGCTTCTGCACTTAATCCTCTTTCTTACATGCCTCCCTCAGTGGCCTACACTTACCTCCTTAGCCTGGTTATCTCTCCCAAATGCTATCCATCTCTAACTCACTTCGGCAAAAATGATGTGCCCAATCCCTGCAATCCTCAGGCAGACACCCTGAAGCCATCTCTGAATCCTGTTCTCCAACAGCCCCCAGTGGGCCTGTGAAAGGATGCCATGGGCTCTTCCCATAGCCACAGACCCTGCCCTCCACTGCATAGCCTGTGGCTTGCAGCCCACAGCCTGGGCACTCTCCTCTACTACCCAGGAGACATGGGAACCTTGCTTCTCTTCCTCCCATTTCAACACTTCACTCTCAACTCAACCGGTAAGTGGATTCCTTTAAAAATCTGTGTAGGATGAGCCATCCTGGAGGGCTGATCCATAACTCCAGAACTATAGGCCATAAGACTGCACTGTATTTGGGATTCCTGCTGAATGACTCCTCCCACAAAATCCCCTAAAATGGATAACTCTGGGAGGTGATGTATGTTAATTTGCTTCCCTAGAGTAACCATTTTTGCTCTCTATCCCGGAACATGTTGCACACCTTATAACTACACAATAACATTAATTTAAAATAAAAAGCCAGAGCCTGCCCCTGTTGTGTGGAAGGCTCTGCAGCAACCCACGTTCTCTCAGAGAAGCTTCATGTCAGCCTGTGGGGGACTGCACAGTCCACCCCAGCCTATGATCCCTCACTTCTGGCATCACCTACTCCCTCGGCAGCTGACCACCTAGGTTGGCCTCTCTGCTGTTCCTTCAACATGCCAGGTAGGCCTGCCTTGGCCTCTTTTTCCAGGGTTCATCCCCACCCCTATCACCAGTTCGTGCCCACATGGGGAAACAGGACCTTTCTGAGTGCCTGACCACATGAACTCCCACGAACCCCTGAGTCCCTGTGGCTTCTCCACAACCAGGTCTCTTAGCTGGTCAAGGACAGTCCTAGGCAGAGGATGTGCTGAGGTCAGGCCCTGCAGATGAGCACAAAACAATGGTTTCTTCACTGGAAAGCAGAGAACACATTTTCAAGACACTGATTTATTTGTTCAGTACCTTCATTCCTTTCTCTGTTACTCTTATTACTGGAGTTAGGTGGGAAAGCCACAAATAGTTGAGCCCTGAAGCTTGTTTTCATCTTTATTATCCTTTGGCTAAAGAGAGTAGATCAAATGCTGGGGGCCACTTTACCATATGCATTACCTAATTGAGAAGCTGTTATTTCATGAGGTGACAACAGCAGCAATACAAGAAGATCCTTAAACTCTTTGGTAATTGGAGAATAGCAAATTAAAACCATAAGATACTGCTTTAGCTTTATTGGGTGATGGGAGATAGAAAGCTAGATCATGCCAAGGTGTGACTGAGATGGCACTTTACATGAGCCCAGAGATGGCTGTGAGTGGGTGTAGACTGAGGTCGCCACTGAAGAGAGGTCTAGGTTTAAACTAAACACAGGTACACCTAGGAGATAGTGCGGGTTCCATTCCATACCACTGCAGTAAAGCGAACATTACAATAAAGTGAGTCCCACAGATTTTTTTGGTCTTCTAGTACATGTAAAAGTCATGTTCATGCTATACTGGAGTCTGTTAAGTGTGCAATAGCATTATGTCTAAACAATGTACATACCTTAATTAAAAATACCATAATACTAACAATTGATCCTTTGGTGAGTCATAAGTTTTTTGCTGGTGGGGTCCTGCTTTGATGTTGATGGCAGCTGACTGATTGGATGACAGTTGCTGAAGGTTGGGGTGTCAGTGGCAACTTAAAATAGGACAGCAATGAAGTGTGCCACTTCAGTTGACTCTTCCCTTCATGAAAGGTTTCTCTGTAGCATGTGATGCTGTTTGATAGCATTTTCCTCTCACTAGAACTTCTTTCAAAATAGGAGTCGGTCCTCTCAACCTTGCTACTGCTTTACCAACTAAGTTTATGGAATATTCTAACTTTTTGTTGTCACTTCAGAAATGTTCTCAGCAATTTCATAAGAGTAGATTCCATCTCAAGAAGCCACTTTCTTGACTCATTCATAAGAAGAAACTCCTTATCCGTTCAGGTTTCATCCTGAGATTGCAGCAATTCAGCCACATCTTCAAGCTCCACTTCTAATTCTAGTTCTCTTACTGTTTCCACCCCATCTGCAGTGACTTCCTCCAGTGAAGTCTTGAACCCCTAAAGTCATCCATGAGGGCTGGAGTCAACTTCTTCCAAACTCCTGTTAATGTTGATATTTTTATCTCCTGCCATGAATCATGAATATTCTTAATGGAATCTAGAATGGTAAATCTTTTCCAGAGGGTTTTCAATTTACTTTGCCCAGATCCATCAGAGAAATCACTCTCTATGGCAGCTATAGCCTTTCTTAAACAATGCATTTCTTAAATAATAAGACTTGAAAGTTGAAATTACTCCTTGATTCATGGACTGCAGAATGGGTGTTGTGTTAGCAGGCATGGAAACAATATTCAGCTCCGTGTACATCTCCATCAGAGCTCTTGGGTGACCAGGTGCTTTGTCAGTGAGCAGTAATGTTTTAAAAGGTACCTTTCTTTCTGAGCAGTAGGTCTCCATAGTGGGCTTAAAATACTCAGTAAACCATACTGTAAACTGATGTGCTATCATGTAGGCTTTGTTGTTCCATTTCTATAGCACAGATAGGGTAGATTTAGCATAATTCTTAAGGGTCCCAGGATTTCCAGAATGGCCAATGAGTATTGCTTCAACTTAAAGTCACCAACTTCATTAGCCCCTAACAGGAGAGTCAGCCTCTTCCTTGAAGATTTGAAGTCAGGAATTGACCTCTCCTCTCCAGCTATGAAAATCCTAGATGGCACTTTCCAACAGATGACTATTTCAATTACA